CATTTCTTTTTCCCCCCCTTCCCGACTCCCCCATTTCTTTTTCCCCCTCTGTCTATACTAACCTGTGCCCCCATCCCACCTCTCTGTGCCCCCATCATCCCCCAGGGCATCACAGGGGGAATGGACAACATCAGAAGGGGTGGATGCATCTCAGAGTAGGGGTAAGTTGAAGGATAAGGAATCTCAGGGAGATGGGGGCATGGGTGAATCAGAGAAAAGGGGGATGGGGGCACCAGATCCTTTCTCTCTCTCCCACATCCTTGATGTAACCCCTAACTTATGACACCAACCACTTTGTGACACACCTCTATGTGACCACATCCTACTCTTTGCGACCCCACATTCTGTGACACTCTTTTCTCTCAGTGGCCCACCTCCTTGTCTATGATTCCCCTCCTCTACGTGGCCCTCCCATGCCTTTGAGAGTCCCCCATCTCCATGTTGACCTCCTTCTCTGTGGCCCCACACTTCTACGTGAGACATCCCTCTTTTCTGAGGTAACCCTCCTCTGTGACTCATCTTTGAGCCTCCCCTCCGTAACCCTCCACTCTATTTGACTCTCCCTCCTTGTGACCCTCCCTCTATTTGACTCCTGCTGAGCCTCCCCTTACCATGTGACACTCTCTGTGATCTCCCCACTCTATGTAACTCTCCTCTATCTATATGACACTCTCTGTTTCCCTTCTATTTCAACCTCCCTCTGTTACCCTTCCTCTCCATACAATAACCTCCCTTCTGTGTTCTTCCCCCCCCCCCTCTATGCAACTCCCCTTTCTATGTCCCTACGCCCCCCATGTGACTCCCTCCTCTCTGTGTCCCTACGCCCCCCATGTGACTCCCTCCTCTCTGTGTCCCTACCCCCTTCTCTCTGTTACTTCCCCTTCTTTCTATATATGGGACTCCCCAATATATGACTCCTTCCTCTATGTGACTTACCAACCTCCATATGCGACTCCTCATCTCTGTCTGTCTATGTCTCTGTGTGTGTGTGAGACTCCCCTGCCTTTATCTACGTACATGTGAGCTTCTTTCGGTGTGACTACCCCCGTCTTTTTTTATTTGTATGTACCCATGAGGGAGACCCCGGTCCCCTCTCGTTGTGACGGCCTCCTCTGTCCCGGCTGTTGACCTTTGTTCCCGGAAACTGTTTTGACGGAGGTCGGTGATGTCATAGTAGGAGTTTGTGGGCCTGGTGACGACGTTACGGAAAAAAGGGTGCGAGATCGGGGCCGGCTCCGGGCCCTGGAGGGACAGTGAGGCCCCGGTAAGTGACCGACTGTGTGTGTGTGTGTGTGTGTGTGAGAGTGAGTGAAGGCGGCCTGTCCCCGGGCATCATCATCATCATCATCATCATCATCATCGTGATGGTACTGTTGTTGGACGGGGGTTACTGCGATTGCTCCAACCTGAACCACTCTCAGTAAAACCGACCTCCGTCCTGATGGCTCTTTTCCTGGGAGAGGAAGGCCAAGTCCGTGTCCTGCTGGTTGAG